TTCGCTGATGATGTAAAGCTGTTCAATACCACAGACAATACTGCTACCCTACAAAAAGATCTTGACTATGTATCTGAATGGTCAAACAAATGGCAACTTCAAATCTCAACAAATAAATGCTCTGTCTTACATATTGGCAAAAAAAATCAGAAAATAAAATACAAGCTGAATAGTCAAGATCTTGTTGATGACCCAAGCTCTGTAAAGGACCTTGGAATACTCACCTCTAATGATCTAAGTGCTAGAGCCCACTGCAACTACATAGCCAAAAAGGCATTAAGAGTTGTTAACCTAATCCTACGTAGCTTTTTCTCTGGTAATATCACACTACTAACCAGAGCATACAAAACATTTGCTAGACCAATACTCGAATACAGTTCATCAGTCTGGAACCCTCATTACGTATCTGATATTAGCACAATTGAGAAAGTCCAGAAATATTTCACAAGAAGAGTTCTCCACTCTTCTACTCGTTGTAGAATACCTTATGCCACCAGACTTGAAATTCTAGAACTAGAAAACCTTGAATTACGCCGTCTTCGGTCTGATTTAAGCATGGTATATAAAATCATACATTGCAATGTCCTACCTGTCAATGAATACTTCAGCTTCAACCATAACAACACAAGAGCACACAATAGATACAAACTCAAAGTTAACCGCACCAAACTTGATTGCAGGAAATACGACTTCAGCAATAGAGTGGTCAATGTCTGGAATACTCTACCCGACTCTGTAGTTTCTTCCCCAAACCCCAAAAACTTTAACCTTAGACTGTCTACTATTGACCTCACCCCTTTCCTAAGAGGTCTGTAGGGGGCGTGCATAAGCGCACCAACGTGCCTACCGCCCCTGTCCTATTGTTTCTCTTATTCTTCTTTTATTTTTCTTATATGTACCCATTTCATGTATTCACAACTATGTATACACTTATATTTATTATCTTGTAAACAATTGGCAAATCAAATACATAAATAAAATAAAATAAATAAATTCTAGTTAGACAATAACTTGTCTGGGTAGATTATAATTCACTCCCATATGTTGGCTGTGAATGACACAACCAGCTACATAAAAGAGAGTCCGCCTGCTATATGCAAAGGTAATGGCAGGGGGAGGGGGTGGGTTGGAGAAAACCGAAGAAGGCTTGACTCAGTAAATAGGCGTTGAAGCTACATTTAAATATCACATTGAGTCAATGTTTGTTTTAAGCTCAATTTTTTGAACAGTCTTGCGAACAATTATGACTGATTTGGAAAAATTTCCCTTTATTTTTCTCTCATTTGCCTTGCATCTTTGTGGTTTGGTTAGAGGTTTGCACATGATATACTGTAATACCAAATCAGGAATAAGCCAGAAAATTATAAATAATTTCTACATCTCTGCGTACCAAAATCACGCCAAGTCACAACTATAGTCAGTAACAAATCATGATTTTGAACTGTAACTTATTACCATAAAATACAACTGAGTTATTCACCCAGCCTTAACAAACCATGCTAAACAAATCACATTAGAGTGCAAATCTAGCCTTTGGAGTGTCATGCAGTGAACCGGGCTTTATCCTGTGAGATCGATTAGAAAAGGAAGTATAATGGGCTTAAAGATGACTTCGCAAAACAGCATTAGCTAAATATATGGAGAATACTGTATGTTTATTAATGGCTCTTAGCAACAAAACTTAAAATAAAAAAAACATATTTGACTAATAGGCATTGATAGATGGTAGGCCTGTATTGGAGGCAATGTACAAGATTAGATGGCAAGACGGTCCTTGTAATTTTACATCAGTCTCTGCTACATAAACACTGTCTAACTTACAAGCAAACTCTGAATATGGTTCCTGACAGTATTCTGGTCTTGAGATGCATTGAGAGACTGCTCCTTCCAATAGTTCACATTTTGCTGAGCAGATTCCAACCAGACATTGAGCTCCTTTGTATCTTTGTTGTAACTTCAAGAAAAAACAAAAGAAAACAAATCAGGAACTAGAATCAATAAGTCACTACAGATCCCTCAAACAACTCTGTTTCTGACTGGTAACAGGCTTATAAGGCAATTAATAATCAGCGGGTTATTAAAGAGCATCCTGGCAGATGAAATTTGGGGGCTATATCTGATTTGCTAGTCCTACATGAGAGCAATGAAAATATAAAATGTCTACCCTCTCCTCACTGTTTAGATAACTTCAGTTACTTCTCCTTTTGCTATTTTTTGTTTAAGAAAAAAAAATCAGCTTTCCATATGCTATCTGTTAGCAGATGGAGTAACATCAGATATTCTTGTATGTCAGTTGTACCCAGTCCTGGACAGGAGTCCTGGTAATGGTTATTCACCTTGATATCCTTCTGACTGGGCTATTCTATCTGAAAGCTTCAATTCACCCAGAAAATGCAAAACCATGACTAGTTACGTGTACTTTACTCCTACTCCACTAGCTGCATTGTCTTCTGATAGGCTTCTGGGTATGATTTAAGGTGCTGCTTATTACTAATAAAGGTATACGGTTAGATTACTTGAGGGACTGACTTCTGCCAAGAACATATTTCCACAGGGAGGACATGCTCCATGTTCCCTCTTTTAAATGTTGTCATCCTATGGGACTTAGGAAGTGTCCTTTTTCTGTGGTTACCCCTGTTCTTCAGAAAGATCTCTGCTCCTATATATGACAAGTCCTAATTGATCTCACCTTTAGGAAGCTCTTCTCCCCCAAAATAAGAGGCCAGCTATGTATAACTCTTGTTCTTATTAGGTGCTTGGTAGCCATTTTATATTTAGCATTTATTTAGTGTATTGTTTATTATTATGTGAGGTTTTTTTTTTTTAGAACTGGTCTACTTTCTCAACTTGCATTTTCAGATTTTGAACATGATTGCTAAGGAATTCTGTGAACTATGCCTATTGAGAGTACCAGGTCAGGGAAGCTGACCTTCAAAAGCAAGCAAACGTAACTCCTACCTGGACAAGAGTTTGTGCAATGTCTCAAGTCTTTGTAGTTCATGGCCAACTCTTTGGGAAAAAGATGCCCACTGATGTTCCAGCTTCTCAATCTTGGATTGCAATTCTGGGCATCTCAGAAGTTCTGTCAAATTTTTCCCTTCTTTCACTATTTGATAATATCTAGCCTGTTCCCCTTCAATGTTCTTTTGGATTTCCTGAGAAACAATAAAGAAATTATATAAAATTATAAATGAAAAGTAACAGATCATATTATTATTAATTTATTTCTCTTTAATCACACACAAAAAGGCAAATCTATTTATCCTTCAGTGTTCATTTAATTAAATTTGGCAATCAACACATTTTATAATTGCAATGAATTTTTTGCGCAAGCATTAATTGGGAAAAATATGATCTCTCCCATATCTGTTTCTTTATTTTATTCTATTTAGATTTTTTTTCCACTTTCTTAAGAGGGAGCTGTACATGTTTGCTGGCTTGTTTCTTTCTCTCAAGATAATTGTTTTACATCTACTGTCTTCTGACTCAATGCCTAACTGCTATGAAGAATGTCATGTTTCCTGTAGATCACAGAATATAAGAGTTGGAAGTGATTTGGAGATCCTCTAATCCACCCTATGGCCCAGTGCAGAATTATACTATTATATCAATCTTGATGTCTGGCCATCCAGACTCAGTTTAAAAACCTCCAGCAGAGACTATCACTTCCTACGCCACTCTATTCCACTGTTGAATAATTCTTTCTATCACAAAATTTATCCTGATGTCCAACTAAATTAAACTTTTTTGTCACTTAAACCCCTTTTGTCTTGCCTTCTTTAACAACTCTGAACATTTGTCACATGACAGCACTTCAGAAATTAGAAAACAACTAACATGTTTCCGAAAAGTCTTTTCCTCTTCAGGCCAAACATATCTAACCATTCCTCCCAGCCCCTAATCATCTTGATGCTGTCCGTGAGACATATTCCATCTTGTCAATGTCCTTCTTAAATTGAACTACATGAAATGACAATTTAGTTTGTAAAGACATGTTTAGCCTTCAATTCCTTCATTACAAATAGAGGAAACATTATTCAAGTATTAGCTTTTGTACAGTGTTTTGTTCAATAATGACCATAGTTACAATGGAAGTTACAGAACCTAGGGTGAAGTCAATACCTGGAGGAGATGAGTCCTTTCCATTATTCTTTCTTCTGTCTCTTCCACTAAAGCCACAAAAGGCATTGTGGGTGAAAGTGCTTCCAGCTTTTGGCAGAATGAAACGTAGTTCTCATCAAATGCCATCCAGTCCTGTAAGATGAAGAACGTTGTTAGTAGCTCCCAAAAGCCAGTAGTAAACTGGTTGTATAAAATAATTTTCTTTAATCAGTTTCTTCCAAACGTGTAGGCCTATACAAATTTATATTGGTTGGGGGCAATGGGAGTTATGGTCTGATACATCATAAAGGTGCCAAATTGGGAAAGCTGTTGTATCCAACATAAACAAATGTATTTAATTCTTCCATTACAAATATGACCTTGAATCTCAACATGGCAGATTACTTAATGGGTATTGAATAATGAATACAAAAATACTTTAATTTAATCATTTTTTGAGATATAAAAAGAGCCCTGCTGAATCAGTTCAAAGTTGTGTGCTGTAGCAGTATCAAGTCAGTTTTGAATTTGGATAAATTCCAAATGTATGTAAAATTAATTAAAATTAAATTAATGTATTCTCACTCAACTTCTGGGTTAGAAGCTGAGTGCAACAGACTTGTCTGAACCTATTTCACATTATTTTATTTTACTCTCTGACCTGTAAAACCTTTTCCAAATGGGTTCCTTGTTGAATAGCTTCTTCTTCTAATGATTTGATCTTCTCTACCATATCCTTCCAGTATTTCTCCCTGTTTTGTAATATTGAAGCTGCCACTTTTTGTACAAGAAGCATATGGTCGTTCAGTTTACAGAAGAAGCTCTATGTTCAAAAAAGAAAAGGAGCATAAGTACAGATAATTATATTCGCAAAATAATTATTCAAAAAGAACACACTTGTCTTTTAAGAGCATAAATAAAGTTACAATGTTTCTGCTACATGCACCTGCTCTGGATGTTTCAATAATACAAAAACTTATCCTCTTTCATTCCTTTGAACTTTTACCAACAGCAAACATAACAAATACACAGAGATCTATATTTTAACAGCATTAAAAGTGGCAAAATAGTAAACAAGTATTTAGTACAATACAAGTATAGTATTTGTTACAACTCAACCAAGAATGCCAATATTCTTCATGTGCTAAATATTACAAAAATATGTAAGTTGTTGGTCATTCCCTAAACAAGTAGAAAATTGCTGGGCTTGCAGATGCGAAAAACAACCATATCCCAAGAAAGTGGGAAAACTTATGATATATCCTTAAAAGGGATCTTTTTAGATCCCTTTTCCAAAATTAGAGATTTGAATCAATGCTAAAATTATGTTTATTTATTTTATTATTCATCTTTATATGGCTGCCTCCTGCTTCATACACCTTGCTTCCCTTATCCTAGTCATTGGCGTATACCCAAAAATCAAGGGAAGAAAGTGGACCCAGAAACTGATGGATAAATTGGTACAGGACATCTGGATAAGAGTGGAGGATATATTGGTAGAAATATATTGGACCTTATGGTAAAACTGATAATGTTATTCTGGCAACATAGTTGAATTTAAATCACAACTTGGTTTGGAACAAAGCAAATTATATCTCATTTAAAGAGCTTGATTTCTTTATCCGATTGAATCCAAAATGAAATGTGGAGGATTTGTTTGCCATCAAACACCAATTCTAACAATTCTGGAGAAACACTGTTATATATATTTTAACACGGGAAAAGACCCAAACACACCAAGACCTGATATATATATATATCAGGTCTTGGTGTGTTTGGGTCTTTTCCCATGTAAGATTGAGGGTATCTTGGCAACGTTTTGATGAGGTCCCACTCACCATCCTCAGGCTGATGCTTTCGGCTTTGTGCTGTTGCTTGCACAAGCATGAAGCTGAAAGCACCAGCCTGAAGATGGTGAGTGGGACCTCATCAAAACATCACCGAGATACCCTCAATCTTACATGGGAAAAGACCCAAGCACGCCAAGACCTGCATACCTGTACCCGTGAAAATCTACAAACACACACACACACACACACACACACACACACACACACACACAATATATTATATATATATTTTAAACATCTCTTTGAATCCCAAAAGTAATTATTCAGTCATATAAACTTTACTTTTCTTAATCTATATAGCCAAGTACCACTCACTCATCACGAAATCTCCAGAACCGTAAAGCCTACAAACTTGAAATTGGGCACATATGTTCCTCTTGGCTTCTAGGTGCTCACTAAGAAAGGATTTTTTGACATGACCATCAGATCTAGTATTTCTTATACAGTAATTAATATGCTCTGATGCTAAGGAGTTCTACTCCCCCTCCCCACCTGAAAAGAACTCTATTCCATCTGCCAATTGCCTCACATTCCATTACCTTAGTTCAAACTCTCAGACATTCCACTCCTTCACTCAGGAGCGGTCTGGGGCTCCTTACAGTACTAAACGTCGGTACCTCACCAAAATGTCTACGCCTTCCACCTATGAAACTGCTTCCGGACTCAAGGCGGCGGGAGTGATATTCCCTTATGTGTTTCAATCACAGAGCACCGAGCCAATGGATTGTGAACTGAATTTCTCCTGCATAGCCTGATCACAAAGTTTTGTTGTGAAGCTGTGGTATCCAGCTAGTATTTTAAATAAGAGGCATTTCCATATGCAACATGCAAACAATTACAGCCTTCTTAATTTGATGCCAAATAGAAGTAGCTATTTCCCCTAAGTTTACATTCAGAGAAATTAAGTAGAAATCAACTTGTGTTTATTCAAATGTTCTCCTGGGCAGTCTATAAATTTTCATCTTTATTACCAAGGATATATTTTATTTTCAGCAAAGTAATCATAGCCCTGGATAGATGTTATGATTACACATAACAGCAACAGCCCCTCCTCTTCCTATAAAATTACCTCTGCTCATGTTGATGAGATTACATTAAAAGCTCTAAGTGAAAAATAAACATATAACAAATGAGCTAATGTAATGCACTTATTAAGAGAATCACTGCCTGGAGCTCTGGAGTGAGGCCATTTCCTTCTAACCAGTGAATGAATCTATGCATGCATGCCTGAACATATGATAACATTAAACAATGAATCTCAGTATTGCCATGATTTCACTGGCTAGGTTTATACAAGGCTAGATTAGGCCAAAACTATAGTTTGTGGTTCAGTGTATGGTGGGAAATCCACTATAGTCATAGTAGGACTATTGGGAGTCAACAAGAATTTGCTATAAGGTAGATGACTATATAAATGTTTTAAATAAATACAATCACATCAACCCATCATGTGATTTATTCATTGTGTGTTTTGTGAACATATAATAGAAATCCATCAGTGGTTTCTTGGTATGGAAAAATATATTTAAGTGTAATTTAAGCAGATGTTCATACCTTATGGTTTTGCAAGTGTAAATCTAAATCAGATCGACTGGTAATTTTCAGCTTTGAAAGATGAACAAGTTTCTTTTTCCCAAGATCTATAAGCTCTGCAAATCCTTGTAACAAAAATTCACACTGTTGTTCCTTAATGAATGAAGAATTTAGTTCCTTCTGTTTGACTCTTAGGAATTCCCAGAGGTCATCCAGCACCTCCTAGAAATTAAATGAAATTCTGGTTAGAATAATTTATGAGACAGTTATATTACAGAGAAACTTGTGGCATCTCAAAATCAATAGTCTTCAAGATACCACAAAGTACTAATATTATTACTGTTCTAGAATGTGTTTTTTATATTACACGGCTGACCAGCAATCAGGGTTTAACTGCATATTTTGACAACATACATTATAAACCTGCAAATTTTGATTGGCTAAGCCAAACATTGCATTTCTAATCCATTCTTCTTTGGATGCAGTTCAGGATTGTATTTATGTATCTATATTATATCTTCCCCATCAAATTACAATGTCCATCAGCCAGTCAAAATGGCTGATGCGGCTCCTAAAGACATCAAATGGTTAGATCATCTCCAGAATTAAAATAGGCCTTTTAGTGATTTGCTTTCTAGGGAAAATGCCATATTTCACATTCTAGTTCAGTGGCAGCAACCCATGACTCATGGGTCAGATATGGTCTGCTATCCAAAATCATCTAGCCCAAGTCCCCCTCCCAAATATATGTTTATCTGGAAAGAGAGAGGGGGTGGGGAGAAAGCACATGCTGTCTCTTTGGGTGAATGTTTGGGGAAGGCTTCATCAGCCACCTCAATGGAGGCAGAGCAGTTGTTGTGGTTCACTGGCAGCCAGTGTGGACAGCAGAGGTATCGGACAGTGAGGATGAAAGGGAACCAGTCAGGGAGTCTGGCAAGGACTTGGACGAGGGTCCTGCATCTGATGCAGGGATGGGGCCAGGACTATCTGAAAGTGGGGTGCTGCCTTTGGAGCCATTGGACTCTGGCAGCAGTGAAGCAGAGGATCCCGGGAAGCCTGTTCCCAGTGTGCATGTGTGCAGGGCTGCTAGAAGGAGACAGCAGCTGAAACAGCAGGAGTGACTTGGGAGTAAGGCTGGGAGGTGATTGCCCCTCGCATAAGGGATAAAAGCCAGCCCTTGGGGATGTGCTCTTTGCAGGAAGTAAAGAAGTTCATTAGATTCTGGTTCCTCATCGCAGCCCCGTGGACTCTGGTTTGTCTTTGCTGGAACTTCTGTCAGTTTATCTGCTAATTAAGTGAACGTCTGTTTCTTGGCAGCTTTTACAACCCTGAAAGGCGTGTTCTTATCTCAGACAATTGTGTTTAATGAGTTTTGGCTGGGAATGCAAATAATTCCCAGCATCACATTAAAAAAGGTTCGCTTTTACACACAGCATGTGTTTTCTTAATTTGAACGAAGCCTGGGTCAGAACAGCAGTAAGTCCTTTGGAAATGGTAGCAGTGGCATAGCTTCTGGACCCTGTGAAGGAAGTTGCCAACCCCTATTCTATATGCTGTACAGGTAGTCCTTGACTTACAATTCATTTAGTGATTGTTCAAAGTTACAACGGCATTGAAAAAAGGACTTGTGACTGTTTTTCACACTTACATTACAGCATCCCCACGGTCATTGATTTATATTCAGATGCTTCATAACTGGTTCCTATTTATGACTGTTGCATTGTCCTGGGGTCGTGACCTTCTGATAAGCAAAGTCAATGGGAAAGCCAGATTCACTTAACAATGGTGTTGCTAATTTATCCACTGCAGTGATTCACCTAATAAATGTGGCAAGAAAAGTTATAAAATGGGGCAAGACTCACTTAACAAATTTCTCCCTTGGCAACATAAATGTCGTAAGTTGAGGACTACCTGTATTTGACCATCATGTATTTTCTCACCCTCATTTCTAGCAATTCTATTTTGTGCCCTTGCCCTTCCCCCCCATTTAACTTCAATCTCAGCATGCTCGGATCAGTTGCATTTCATTTTATTTGGTTCATGTGTCCATTTGTTATTCAGCATGTTTACCTCTAGTTTATACACGTCGTGGGTTACAGCAACTGGCCAATGAACTCTTTCTCCACGATCTCTTAGTTTAACTGCCTGTGTCTCAAAATTTTGCAGTTCCGATTCAAAGACATCCATCTGCTGAATGAGATATTAAATGATTCAGAATTAGGCAAGCCTTTTTAATAGCAGTGATATTTCTGAGGCAGAGAAAAGATCTGACAATTTTCTGAATTATATCTATCAAATAACAGAATAAAACTACCACTTGTTAAGTAGAAAAAGGGACTGGTCTAAGTAAAAAAACACTCAAAACAAATTGGCATAATTGGAGTGAGGATTTGTTTATGTCAGGAACATTATAACAATGATTTACAAATGAGATCTGCAAGTAAGTGTTGCTGTACGGAATGCAGTTATTTCATATTCTAGCTAATTGTGCTCTCTTCTAAAATAGTCAAGCCCATTCTTCCAAACAATCACAGTATTTTGTGAATAATGAATGTACTTAGTTTTTTGTCAATTGTTGGGTGGGGGGGTGGGGTAGATGAATTAATGACCACTTAGGATTTTTCTCTTAGCTTGTTTGCACTTCTACAATCTTTGCATTACCACCAAGAATGCTTATATCATCTTTCTCATTTCTTAATAGTTCTGTCCGACTATAATCTTATTGGCACTAGTCCTCTGACTTGATTATCAAGAACTGTCAATTGTAGTTTAAAAACCTGAGACCTCTTTATTGTTCTAATGAAAATTTAGGGTAAACCAGATTTTACAAAATAGGGGGGAAATGACATTAGATTCCTTTTTTCTTCTGTAACATGAAATGCAAGTTGCCTATATCCTGATAATAATGTTTCTATTTTTACCAAAGGTAGTAAATAACACAGAAGGGATGGTAGGCAGAAAATAATAATGTAAAGATTAAACTTTAGATATATTTTACTGTAGATTCTAAAGAGAGAGGATATTATATGCATGATCTGATTCCATGTCAGCATACAGTTATATTGGGAAAGTTAAATAAGCATTTATATCTTTATCAGAGGATATCTTAGGCTCTGGCAGTGTAACACAGGGTTACACAGGGTAATAGATAACTTTTTAGGGTTCAGGATTTTAGCATTCACTGACATTTTAAGATTTCTCAACAATTTTTTTTACAGATGCAGCATCTTAAATCAAAATTAAAAAAAACTTAAAAAGCCAAGTATCAAATTAATATGACATACTTTACTTAATAGAGTATTTAAAATCCAATTAGATGTTTTCAGCAATACCATAAGCATAATAGAAATGTGTTATAAACTAGCAAATCAGTTAGTTGTAAATTACATTAATTAGCACAATTAAAGAATACTGACAGAAGTAAGACAAACATTTAGTAATAAATAAATATACAAATTATTCACAGTGACAAACAATATTTGATTTTGGGGGAATTAAAAGCAAAATAAAAGAATTTAGTTAAAATGCTGGGTACCTAATTACACCTGATTTTCGTGTCTCATTTTAATTACCTGGAATTGCTTAGAAATATTATGCCCACTCATTTCACTGAAAAACTGTTGCAAAGAGGATTTTTTCTCAATCAATGCATCATACAAGTGCCTGATTTCATTCTGTGACAAGAAACAAAAAATCCAATATAAATCCAGAAATGCATTATGCAAAATTAAGGGATAATGAAACTGCAATTCAAATGGCTTGCTTAATCAGTATCATTCTTTATGTATATATGTTTGGAGAAGGGGAGAAAAAGAGTCCTTTTATAAATGGAATGCATTAGAATTACACTCTCAGTGTAGTCCAGTTTTGTAATCATAAATTGCTTCTCATGATGGAGATCAAAGATTAAATCATCTGTAAAGGTGATGTGGTTTGCATTATGTTTGCAAGCATGGGTCTTATCTCAGATAAGCTCCTTTGTGGGTAGAAGTTTTATGTAAGCACGTGCTTATACCTGAATGCCTATGTAGGAAATTGTGCTCTTTTAGGATGTCCATGCAAGAGTACAATACAAAGATTGTGCTTATGACTGTAAAACAGGACTACTCTGTCTAGTTGCAAAACTCTAGGTAATAATTAGGCACAAGAGATCAGAGTTGTAGAAAGTTAGCATCCACCCCTCTTAGAAGAATGAAATATTTTAGGAAATATTAAAAAGACAGAATATTATATTTTCCTTAAAGGAGAAACATGTTTCTAAAGTCAGAAACTCACAGCTATACCTCCCTGCCCCCAGCAGATATTTGGTGCCCATTGAGAAGGACTGGGACAGCCTATCTACAAAACAGAAGACCCTCAATTCCAGGATGATGGGATTATCCTTCAGGGCAAAACCATTCAGCCACAAGAGGAACTGCATAACAAAGCCCCTTCATTGCATCAACCCAAGCTTCAACCAAGCTTGACTCAGATAACCTACAACCTGACCCCTGCATAGCCTCATAGGAGTCTGACAGCAACCAACAGAATACATTTCTTGCACAGGAACAGAAATCTGAAGGGCAAGGCCCAAGAGAAAGTATAAATAACCCTCACTCTCCACTCCATGTGGTCAGCTGCCCAAGGCCTCAAACCCATGTGATCCTGTTCATCAATAAACCATCTTTCTAATCAACATCCATGTTTCCAGTATCTTTCTCCCCACTTGGAACTGAACCATATGGATATTTCTTCCAACAGAGTTTTCTGTAAATTTGATCACATGTGAATCGATATGACATCACTAGCATTTCAACTGAAAAAGGATGAAGCATGTTTTTGGGTGAGCAGTTGTTTTAATAGATTTTAAAGTCTGAAATGAAAACTTGGCCCTGTGATACCTGATAATTGATGTAATGGTCCATTTCAGTTTTCATAGACTCGCTTCTAGAAGCAGCAGTTGTTTGTGTCAATTGGAGCCATGCCTGCAAGTTGCTAAAACACTGGGAGAATCTCTCAGAATTTCCACCAGCAGAGGTGATGGATTTCAGAAGATCGTCCTTCTTATCTCCAATATCTGTATGAAGTTTCTGTAGTTCTGCAGAGAGTGTCTGAAACAGATTGTAGGTGAGATAGGCAAGTAAATATGGCTTTTGTAGAATCCATCAACATCCATTTGTTTATTTCAAGAGAGAAGTTTTAATATCAGCATGAGACTTGGGCATTCATATACTGTATCTCTCACGCTCTTGAGAAAATACTCAATGGTGTTCTTCTTGGACATCTTTGACATGTTCTTGAAGTTGCAAATATGCTACAGGGATTATATAATATCTATGCATTTCTTTCACCAGGATTTCAAAATACGAAACATATTTAGTATCAGTTTAAGCGTTAATTTGTTTTTAACTTTCTATACTTGGGTTTGTTTGTTTTTTGGTTAAATTCTATTAGCCTGAGCACATTCGGCTTGAAATAGAAAAACAACTAGTCATTTTTTAGTGTTTATCTCAGTACAATATCCTGATTTTTCCTACTTTTTTGCCCTTTGTAAACATGGAGGGATATGTAAATGGAACTAAAAATGTATAAACCTATTGTAGTTCAGATACTACAATAATTTTGAATGCTGTGGGGTAGATAATCTAAGTCAATTGACAGATTTTCAGTATTATAAAAGTCCTGAACCATGTGCATTAAACCTTTGCTAGCTTAATTTATTATAAAATAAAAAACCTTATCACCACCAACCAAAACATGAAGAATTTGATATCTTCTGATAACACAATTGTGTCACTTGCATACTCCCCATGGCCTATGAAAGCAGCAGCAAAGACCCCCCCCCCCCAAAAAAATACAAATCCTCCCCCCAATAGTCAACTTTTGCTTGGAAGGAAATTACACTTCCTGATATTCACTCCAATATTTGGGAGCTGATCTGAGCAGATGGCTATGGAGGAAGCGAAGAAAAATGCTGCTCCTCACCCACTGCTTCATGAGCAAAGAATTGTATCAACAAATTCAAAGAAGTTCATGTTTGAAAGAGTAACTATATTTCAATCCAATCCTGTTAGTTCAGTAAGTACAAATTTGATCAGAAAGTATTAAAATGAAAACTGATCCCCATTTTAAACTTCTGAGATTTTCTGAGGTGTTCTCCAATTTTTAAAACACATCTGTACAATTTTAGTGGGTAAAAAATTGCATTTCTTTCTTTTAAATCGGGATGTCCAAACTGGCAGTTTTAAAACCTTGGACTTCAACTCTCAGAATTCCCTAGCCAACCGTGCTGACTGGGGAATTCTGGAAGTTGAAGTCCACAAATCTTAAAGATCTGGAGTTTGGACAACCTTATTCTTAATAAAAGCTAGCATTCTCAGGAAATATCTACTTCTAATGCCATTATGGTGAATGGTTTTTGCAATTATGCAAAAATATAAAACATACTGCTTTGTACCTCATGAAATCATAGGTCAGGGTGTCAAACTGGCAGCCCGCAGGCAAATGTGCCATGTGCAGGCCATGCCCACCCCAGCTCTGCAAAGGGAAAAAACATCTTGAAACATCATGTGACGCTGCAAGATTAACACCTATGACATAGATTCTCCCATTTGTACTGACCTCATAAAGCACTTGCTGTACAGGAGCTTCTTCACTGGACAGTACACAGGTGCCCAACATCTGTTCCATGTTGTTCAGGCAGCGGCTGATTGCCAGAAACAACTCAAAGAGTTTCCCATCCAGACTTAATGGATTTTCTCCTGTTTCATTTTCCTACAAAATGGGAAGATACATATTTTCAATTCCCTCTCAATCTTCCTATATATTTGGAAGCAGCATGTGAACCAGTGTAAATATATTCATGCTGGCACTGCAGTAGATATATCTGTGGTTTATTATTTTTAATCTATTAAGAAAACAGATTATAGGAAGTCAGATCATTTGTCCTTCTATCTCAATGCTGCCTATACTAACTGATAATCAAAAATGTGAAGATGTAAAGCAAGGGTCTTCAAACTTGACAGCTTTAAGACTTGTGGACTTCAACTCCCAGAATTCCTGAGCTAACATGACTGGAGGAGGAATTCTGGGAGTTGAAGTCCACAAGTCTTAAAGCTGTCAAGTTTGAAGACCCCTAATGTAAAGAAAGGCCCTCTATATTGGGCATTACAAGTAACTTGAAAGTGATCTTTAGGATGATCTGATGTAGAGGAAGATAGATGTGGAAGATAGTATTATTTTCAGAGTTACGTAGAAGCAGTCATATTATTAGATTCAGAACTTCTCGTCCTTACATAAGAAACTGCACTTTTCAAAATCCTGGCCTGAAGACCACTGTTTAATATTTATGGTGGAAACATATACAGACATTTTCAAGAACTAAGTTATAAGTCTGGAAAATATTGAGCACTTGTTCCAAATTGCTTTATGATACATGTTCCAATATCTCAGGGGCTGCCACAAAGAAGAGGGGGTCAATCTATTATCCAAAGCACCTGTGGGCAGGACAAGAAGCAATAAATGGAAACTAATCAAGGAGAGAAGCAACTTAGAACTAAGGAGAAATTTCCTGACAGTTAGAACAATTAACCAATGGAACAATTTGCCTCCAGAAGTTGTGAATGCTCCAACACTGGAAGTTTTAAAGAAGAGATTGGAGAACCATTTGTCTGAAATGGTATAGGGTTTCCTGCCTAAGCAGAAGGTTGGACTTGAAGACCTCCAAGGTCCCTTCCAACTCCATTATTCTATTCTACGGTCATTTTATAGGTGGTGGCTCCCTCAGCTAAGAAACAGAGATGAGCATTGCCCCCTAGAATGGACATGACTGGACAAGGGAAACGTTTACTTTTTAGTGCATTGAAAGTAGATGTTTCATGATGCCAAAGCTAGATCTTATTCAACCATCCTGGTGGCTACTTATATAACTCAGAGAAATGCCTTTAGTACCTGTACCTGAATAGAAGCTTCCTGGCTTAGATTGTCAAGCTGTGCTGTGTATGTTTTTAGCTCCTCAATGGTTGGAGTTCTCACACTCGATGTAGCACCCAGGGGCAGAATATTTATTTTGGTAGAGATCTAATATTTGGAAGAAAAAAACCAAAACATGTTTAGACAAGTGCCCCAGGTTAAATTCATGGTGACATACAGATAATGTCAGACAACCCCCCTGCCAAGATAGCCCTCAACTTATATCCATTTGCTTAGTGTCTGTTTGAAGTTATAATGGCACTTTAAAAAGTGACGTATGATCTGACCTCACATATATGACATGACTTTTCCTCACATGATCAAATTTTGGGCCCTTGTCATGTATTTAGTTGCATCATCCAGGGGTCAGGTGATCACCAATTGTGACTTTCCCAGCTGGCTTCCAATAAGTAAAGTCAATGGGAAAAGCTGGATTTGCTTAGCAACCGTGTAATTCATGTAACAGCAGCAGTTGTTCTTTTAATAATCATGGCAAAAAAGTCATAAAATCAAGAATTATTCACTTAACAACTGTAAGTGCTTAATAACAGAAATTCTGTGATTGTAAGTCAAGACTACTATATAATATTTTTTTTAAGTAAAAACAAATATACTTTTAAAACTAGATCATCATCATATTGTGAAATGACAGATCCACTCAAACAGCAGGTTTTAAATCTTCTGAGAATAGAAACTCTGGCATCTGTTGCATTCATAAAAAGTATGCTGGGGTAGATGGATGGAATGTGGTTGCCACAATATTGTGGCCATATGGGAAAACACCTGCATGGCTCCCAAACATTTGCTTTTAACACCTGAAGGTGCTTGTATGATGTTTCTTATATTTTTGACCTGCAAGTGAGTAAGGATATACTAACCTGAAGTTCATCCAATTGACAGTGAGGAGCATTCTTCTTGAGTAGCAGTTCTTCTTGTAAATATTGCCATTTATCACCTGTTTGGTCCTTTGGAGTCAATCTAAGAGGCTCATTTCCTGAACTGACTGCCTCATTGCTGGAATTGCATCATATCCCCATTATGAGTAAGCAAATATAGTGAAAGGCAACAAAAAGGAGACATTGGTGAATATATTGCAGAACATAAATCTTGGATCACATCAAAGACTTAATATATATTGGCATCCTGCTTCTGATACAGATATAGAGATGAAATGAAGAAATGGGGCATGTATGCCACTGAAAACCGCAACTTCAGGTTCTCTCTATTTTTCCAGCAATATGCCAAGATTGTTATATCACATTATGCTATCACATGGGTTCTCAATTTATTACTGTAGTTGGAAAAAGAAAGTAGCAGATGCTGTTTTGAGCATAAGCCATTAGGATTCTAATATAAGTTCATTAAATGCAGGATATACAACTTTGGCTTCTCCAGATATTTTGGAATAACATTCTCACAATCCTTTATCAATGGCCATGTTGGTTAGATCTAATGGGAATTGAAATCCTAAAGTCTGGAGCATAATTGGTTACCTACAGGGATGGGATCCGACTGGTATAACTACTGGTTCTGTCTATTAGCGTCACGCACGCATGCTGAGCTGCCCGGACAGGTAAGCAGAGTTGCGTGCAAGTGTGCAGCAGTTGGAAAAGCCCCTTTTCCTGCTTTTTCAACCACAGCTGTGTCACGCAAAGCAGCTGCAGTTGAAAAAGCAGGAAATAAAAGTCAGGTAAGAGCCCAGGTGGGGGGGGGGGTTGGGCCACAACAGCAGCAGACACAGAACCGGTTCTATGCCTGCTGCTCTTCAGAGCTACTGGTTCTACAGAGATGGACAGAACTGGTAGAAATCCACCCCTGGTTACCTATATTTGTAGTGATGAAAAGATAAAAAGTGAAGAAAAGAAGTTTCCGCTAACTCCTCTTTCAAGCCATTCTGCATTATATTATATTTGGTTCTCTTGAGCTGAACATTCCTATGGTGATTACATGGCCATGGCAATGACATTTTCTCAGCAATAGCGTGGAAGGCTCTGAACCTTCCAAAGGTTTCTTGCAAAATATTTTTCAATTTTTAAAATCTTGTGTGCAGACTTGAGATTCTAATGGTATCCTATTCAAATATTAACAAGGTCCAATCATGTTTAGTTTCTCAGATTAGCCAAAGGGGATAGGTGTTTCCAACTGTACCTTGTTTGTAGTCCCAGAACTCTGTTGAGCTTAGGTTGAGGCTGAGTTTTCTCCATGTATACTTCTAGGAAGTCAATGAGATTGTCTTGCTCAGACAGCTTTAACAGCAGTTCCTTCAGGAGAAATAAAAACCAAGTTAAGAAAATTGAAGCGTAAGAAGTAGGTATTTGACAACAAAAATGCCTTATACTGTTTCATCATAAGATGCTGTAGGAATCAAATTGGGAACCAACAAATTTAGATGTTCATTTATTATTTATTGCTTTCCTGAGATCAAAATTCAGAAGAGGGAACTGCACGAAACTGAAAGTGAGGCTCTCTTATTTCATCCCAGAAGAGCTAAGGAAAGTAGGTGGCTGCAGAGGACCAATCCAACCACATTATATAACTACATTTACTCAATTTGGTATGGCTGTCTATCCTAGAAGCTCTAGATGCAGCTTTACTTAGCCCACAATAATTGACATAAGAGGGGAGGGAAGAGAAAGCTATTTTTCAACATGCAGGTTGCATTTTGCCTTTGTGTTCTACCTAAGGCTGCAGTGGGCATGTTTGGTGACATCATGGTTTCCCCAGAATATGCAGTGTCAATATTGTCAGACTTGCATTTTGTTGGGACTGGGACAGTGGGGTTAAGGAGTAAAAACAATCCTTTGCAAGGTTAAAGATACCCAACATTTTCACCATCCATGGGCCAGAAATCAGTTGAAATAGTGAGTGGGCTCTCCATTTCTTTTATAAGAAATGGATTTGTTCTTTGGTCCATGGAGAATTGCGATCTCTGGTCTTGAATCCCTGCTCTTAGCCAGTGATGCCACAATCACCTCCCATTCTTCAACACACTCTACATGGGGCTGGCTCCAATTCGCTCAAAATGCACATGGTTCTGTACAGGCCCAGATGCACATGTTTCCCCTCCTGTGGGAGCTGCATTGGCTGTTGAATTGCTTCTGAGTACAATTCAAGATCCTAGTGCTTACTGATAAAGACCTTCATAGCTTGGGAACAGATTACCTGAAGGGAATATTGTGGATCCCTTCTCCTAAGGAGATACATCTGGCAGGACCCAGAAGAAGGGCCTTCTCTATGGTGGCTTCCTCTCTTTGGAACATCATCTCAGTGGAGATTAGATTGGCCACCATTTTGACACTCTTTCGCAAAACCCTAAAGCCCTAAAGGGGGTTTTGCCAACGGGCCTCGGAAACCTAGAGTGGAATGGAGCCCATCAAGTGGCCTATTTGATTTTATTGCCAGGGGGCTAGGGAGGTGTTGTTGTTTCTATTTGTACATTGGGTTTTTATTTTTTGTAAGCTGCCCAGAGTAGTGAGTGGGGAGCCATATAAATTCTCATAAACAAAGAAACAAATAAATAAGAGGAAAAGCCTTAGACAGTGAGATGGATGGCATGTAATTTAATTAATAAATAAGTAAAAGAAAAAATACCTGTTTATACTGAAAACCATTTGGTCTAATAAACAGAGGTCTCTCTGAGGTCTCATTTGGAAATGAACTAGAGGAATCCAAATGAAGTGGCTGTGGGAAGTTGACAGAGGTCTCTTCATTAGTGCTCATCTTCAAAGAGAAAGAATACTGCTTTTTAGAAGAAGCTTGCATTTTTTATTATAAATATAGAGAGAACATGCATGCACTTTATAATTTCTTATGCTACAATTTTTTTAATAAAGTAGAAGGATCACAGTAAAAATACACATGTAAGAACTTTTCTCTGATGAAAATACGCACAGAAAGAATGATTGCAAAGGACTAGGAAACACTTTCCTTTGCTAAAAGAATAAGAGGAGAGAAACAGGAGGTTCTTAATCATTCCTCATCTTGCTGCTTTTCCCTGTACCCTTTTCTACTCCTGTCACTTTCCTCTCAGAAAGACAAGAAGGCTGGCCAAGATAGACAGATGGATAGTAGGGAAAGGATAACAGGCAAAAAGCAACTACTGAGGGAAGGACTTCATGCTGCTTACTACCCACAGCTTCTCTCCTTTAAATTCCTATCCTTGTATTCATATTATTCACCAAATCTGGTTGAACACAGTATGTTAGAATTGCAGGAAGCTGCCATATATTGAGTCAGAGTACTGATCCACCAACTCCGATGATGCTGACAGTGACTGACAGGAGTTCTCAAGAGTTTCAGGCAGGAGTTTTCTTTGGAAATACATGAATTGAATCTGGGACTTTTTTTCCTGCCAGACATGCCCACCACTGTACACTATGCTTGAGCCTGACACTATTATGTACACAAATATTTGCTTGGTGAACCATTTTAAATCAAACATGGAACACTCTGGCAGCCTGCAGAGATGACAAGAGAAGTGAAATAATATTTTATTCATCATTATCAACTTTCTTCTTCTGAGGCAGCTTGGAGGCCGCGTGAAGACACTTCAGTTTCATTATCAAAGTCCACAATGCTCATTTATTCATTCCTGCTGCGGCAACAACCAAGTTCTCTCCTTCTCTTCCCCCCTCCCCACCCCCCCTCCCCAGGAGCAAAGGAGACTCTGTATGAGGCAATCCTGGAGCACTTTCATGCAGCGTTTCAAAAATGGTTTTCAAAATAGTTTTTCAAAATAATTGTTGCTATTCTTGCCCCAAATACATTATCACCAAGGCCATGTCATCTCTAAGCACAAGGATATATATTTTTTGCAAAGAACTAAATCCAATTATGGGCACTTATGAACAGACAATCATAAGGAACCAGGGAGGTAGGCCCAATGGCAGAGAGCTAATGTTCCATTTGTACTCTCTCTGACTCAGTATCTTTGTTCCTTATTTTAAAAAAGAATCTTTTTTTGCAGTCCAAGTACATCCATTTCATGCATATAAGCCAGTTTGAAGCTGCTTGTATCAGATCAAATTATTGTGGTTTTTCTTAATGATTAGCAAAATAATTGTGTGAATATACATTCTTATGCTGACAAAACAATACCATTAGCAGAAAAGGGACAATAGCTGCAGATCTGGGAGAAAATACAACATCTGGAAAAAATGAATGAATGAACATGTGTGTTTGCGTATAATGTTTATACTGGTTTTAATTGATTTTATAATTGTTCACCACCCAGAATTACCATTTGAAATGTGAATGGCTATTTGAAATTGTTAAAACAAATACATAACTGGAATATTCAATGTTGCAATCTTTTGCAACATTGTAACCCTCGTGAATTCCATCTAACCCATCTCTATACTGAATGATGGTTTACCTTTGAATGCCACATGCTACAAACCAACCACAGAGAAAGGAGCATAATACAGGAAAGAATTGCTACAGCTAATGAGCTATTTTGTTATTGATGTGCCTGAGGTTATTTAAGAAAGGCAACTGTGATGTTTTCCCCATCTACAAACCTACATGGCAGAGTACACTTTTCAGCAAAATAATAATGCATGATTTTCTGATCAATAGATGTAACATTAAGTAGAGCTGAAGATGCAAGTAATTGTAATACAGGCTACCCCTTCCCCAAGCTAGGGCTCTGCAAATGTGTTGGGAATTCAGGGAACTGTGATCCCAGAATAAATGCATACAAGGCTCCAAGTTTCAGAAGGCTGGAATTACCTGGTCATAATTATTATGCAGGATATACACATATACACACCCTTTCCACCAGTTATCTCTAAGCTGCATGCCTGCCAGATAAGTGGGCTTCAGTTACCAGAATTCCCCCATGCTGAGAATACTGGAGTCTAAAATCCACATAAATGAAGGACATCAGATTGAGGAAGTCTGCTTTAAGTAAATGCAATAAGAGTTGTTGGCAGTCAGGCAGCATAATAATTACTCTTCAAGTTTCTTGACGTTTCAGTTTACCTGTTCTTCTGTGTATTTCTCTTGGAGCATGCGCTGGACTTTTTCCAACTTGCACTTCACATTTTTAAGGTTCAAGGAAAGGTTCTCTGTTTCTTGTTCAAGGCCTGAGCTATTGGTAGTGGCTGTGCCTTTGCACTCCTCCAATAACCACATGACTTTCTGTTCAATTTCTGTTAACATCACCTGAGGAAGCCAAGCAGTTAATCATTCACAAAACATTTATTTATTGAGCGTCCTAAAGCTTAAAGGCTGACAGCTCCAATGCCTGGAAAGGCCCATCTAAAAGTGACCCCCTTTCCTGCCCCCACCTCAGGCTTCTGACGATATGGGGGATGAAGGAATCAAGAAATAGTAATTTATGCATTTCATGTACTGGTCACAAAATTCTCAGCTAAGCATACATTCAGAGGAACTGTCTTTTTTATTACTTATATTGTGGATCTCATTTTTCTAGTAGAAAAGGAAAAGAGCCATACATCCCAGAAATCTGAAGGCTGGCCTCATATAGTGATATTGGTGTGCCAATTTCATCCTACAACTCTTCTGTAAATGTCCACCTGAGATGATTTCCTTTCACCTCTGACTTTCCCCTTTCACATATTTATTAATCATTGCAGCTGTTACGATGCATTAATCTGGTTGACTTTTATCAACTTAAAAAGCCAAAGAGCCAATAAAACAAGTAACACTGTAGAACATATTATAATACCATAATGAACCCAGAGCACACTCATTCTATCCAAGACAAGCATTCCCACATTTCACTCTGCTCTTTCAATCTCAAACAACTCTTTTAAAAGTTTCTGAAAGATCACCAGGAAAGGACCAATCTTGCTGTTCAGATCAGCTGTTTCATTCAAGGGGCTCCCTGGGGGAGAATGTTCTCCTCTGATCCTTTCCCACCATCCTTCTCCTTGACCTGGAAGACTTTCAGCATACACATTCTCCAGGCCAGTGTTTCACAACTTTAAGATGTGTGGATTTCAACTCCCAGAATTCTCAGCTAGATTGGCTGGTTGGGGAATTCCAGGAGTTGAAATCCATATATCTTAAAGTTGCTAAGGTTGAGAAACTCTGCCCTAGGCAAATTCTGTCTAGAGGAGGTGTGTTGAAAAGGAGCAGAACCCAAGCCTAAAAATACATTCTGATTGAGAGCGCTAATGGACTTGAAACATTTTCACTTCTCTGTTTGACTGTACTGTTACTTTCTAGCATAACATCACCCCAACCTTCATTTCACAAACTTGCTGCTGGAAAGATTGACAACAGGGGCACATGTGAAAGAGAAAAAAGGTACCACACAGAGTGACCACACTGGGTTGGCTAACAGGAACAGAATGTCCGTGTTAAGGACACCTGGAAAACGGTCAGATGGTCTAATGGGACAGCAAGAGGCCCGGAAGCGAAGTTTAAAGAACTGTGGAAACCACAGTGTAAGGGAAAATAAGGGCAGCAGCCATATTCATGATCCGTGGATAACATTTTCAAAATCACCAAGCAATAGAAAAATATTACTTTCTTTTGACATGCTCAGCCCAATGATCAGTCATGCGGGCAAATGATTCAGGAGCATGAGAGCTTCTCTGAATCAATGAAGTGTGTTGCTGTAATAATTTAGGATATCTAGAAGCAGGTTTCAAATGCAGAGGTGAATTGAGTACAGGCTCATAATTCTTAGCTTTTTTATAGAGCCCTTATTTTCATTAAGTATCTTTAGAAGGTAGGCTAGAGCAGGAAGTGTTCCCTTTTAGTAGGGTTTTGCCATACTGTATCTTACTCATCACAAAAAGTGTCAGAGATTTTGCTTATCTAATAAAAGATGAGATAAAGAGAATTGTGCAGTTTGTTCTGAGGTCCATACAAAAACATTAGAATCCGAATTCTTTATCACCACTTCCCCAAATATCATGAACGATAAAGTTTAAGTATTCTTGTTCCAGTTCTCTTTCCATCTACTTCAAAAGTCACTTTGGTGAGGCTTAGTACAGTAATTTGCTGTAAATCTAAGTAATTTGTTAGGAAACAATCGGTTTGTAGAAAATTGTCCAGAAACAATAGAAACTTTAGTAATACTTTCAATCATCTTCTTAAACTGTATTTTAAAAAATCCACAAAACCCCTCATACCTAGTATTTCAGCATCCATTAACCCCACAAAAGAAGTAACAATGTTTGACATTTTCATTTAATTTCTCATTTTGTGCTTTAAAAAATCTTAACAAAAAGAAGCTAAACACAAACACCCTTGTACCTACTTCCTTGAAATGTGACAGGCTTCAAGTGTATATTAAGGTATCTTTGCCTGAATTTTTCATCTAGCTTGGAGTACAGTCCAATCATCAGGTATTGGAATCTTGTCCTGGAAATAGTCTAGGATTTTTCATTTGGTACTTTCATGTAGTTTATCCCCCTTCGTCACAATAAGGGCTAGCAACTTGATTCAGGTCATCATATTTCATTTGAAGTTTAAAATTCATATTTATGGTAATGCTGACTAGAATCTTGGCAGTTCTTTTTAACTGGAATTCCAGGTTGCTGGATTATTGATTTCATGCCCTTATAATTGGACATTGCATGGAGGACTCATAATTAGGGGACAACAAGGTCAGCATTTTGTAATTAGGACAAAACTTCTTATTGTATTTGCATGGTATCGGAGTTTTAGCACTTTTGGGCCCGAGAGATATAGAAGCAGCAGCCAAAATGTGTTTTTTCAAAACGTATCACACTGCCTTCAGAATATTTGTGTAGGAGTTAGTTTTCATAATCAGCACCAAACTGAGTTCACAGTCCTGATTATTCCAAAACTGAATTACCTCATAGCTCCTGTTAGATGGGAAATATATTGTTGCGGCTACTGCTAAATAATTGGGAACTGGAAACACTTGTTGATCAGCTATAAAATATCAGGCTAATAGACCACAGTCTGTATTCTGCCCATTCCTGTTTACGAATGAAATGGAAACAAGATTGAGATTGTTTGTCTTGTAGTGCCTGTCCAAGTTAGCAGAGATTGGTTGGGTCAAGAGCATTGGGAAATTAATCTAGCTACACCCCTTAAAATTAACCCATCTAAGTAAAGGGGCATTTCAAAGAGAACAAGAAGTAAAAGCAGTGGAAACATTAGGTACCGTGTGGAGTGACTTTAAAGAATGCTCATGGTTTACAGAAAGCAGTGGTGAAGTTTAGCCAGTTCTTCCTCTTACCTGGCACGCAGCAAGATGCTGGTCCACCAACTGCTGCATTTGACAGATCTGGGCCTCCGATCCTAGAGACTCTTTAACTTGATCGAGCCACAGCTCCAGCTCAGCAATCTGAGCCTGGCACACATGGAGGACCTGAGCCGGCTCGTTAACCGTGTCCTTGTTTGCCTTTGTGTTGCTCAGTGATCTCCATAAGCACTCGGGAGGGTTGGTGAGTTGGGTGGAAGATTTGCCCTGAAAGAAAGAACAGCCGGATTCTCCAGGATATATGAGACCTAAAGCAGCGAGCATGTGCTCAGGAAGCAGCATGCATTCTCACACTTTGCCAAATGGGACTTTTTTTAAAATATAGGTATATATATATATATATACATTTTAAAAAGGAAAGATAGAAAGAAAAAAAGAAAGAAAAAGTAATCTCAGCCACCAGCAACAACATGTGATCTGGCACAACAGGCTTCTTAGCAACTCATTTGCATTTCCACAGGTAGGGCTGACGAAACAGGAAGCTGGCTGATTCATAGCTTATTATTAAATGCTATCCCACAGGATCTACAGAAAGGTGTTTTTCTAGTGCTTGTCAGAGAAGATTCCAGGCACTGCATTTCAAAGCTGGAACGTAGGCCCCAGAGTAAATATTTACATATTGCTTTTGAACTTTGGTCTCAAAAAGACATTTTATTCTAACATTAAAAACAATAAAACAAAAACCTAACAGAAAAAGGGAAATGTTCTTTCTTCACAAAAGGGAAGGTTGTCAAATAAAGTTTGTAAACAATGTCATTCCACTCTTCCTTCCCCCAAGATTCCTTTAGCATTTTGTGACAAGCAAGTATGCTTAATCCCCTCTTTATTCTACTCTCTCCGCTCCCCACCACCTTTTTTTTTTTTAAAGCATTTCGGCATTCTCCCAAGTCAGTGTCTTGTGTTTCATGGGTGCAAGAGCTGAAATATTTGTAGCTGGAAAAGTGGATATACAACATTCTTTGAACTTTAAGTCCTGCCTGGGGTCCTTTTTCAGATTCTCTTGCCAGATGAGGGGATCTGGTAGTCATTAGATTTGGGCTTTCTCAGTAGTCGTACTCCTTAGGGCTCCCTCCCTAGATATGTCTGTCATCGGCTGCAGTATTTTTCTCAAGTGCTAAATAATGAACTGTCTTATTTTTCCTAGGCATTCTAAAAAAACTATTTTAGTCCCTTTAGACTTTATACTCTTATTTAACCTCTACTATTTGTTTTAATTAGTGCTATTGTGCATGATATAATTCTATTTTATGATGCTTTTAATAATATAGGACCATGTGCTTTTGGGTAGTTTTTTTTTAAACTGTAAGGAATCATAAATAATGACAGTAATTATTTTGGTTCATCTCCCAGTCAACCAGATATTCAGATTGATTTTGGCATTTTTATCCACCTATTGAATCCTTTCATCATCATTATTATTATATCTTAAGAAAATAAATTACGTTGTTTTAGTTAGTCCACAATGTACTATTGGATCAGATCATATTAGACCAATATACAGAGGATCTGAATATAATTGCTCTGAATATTGTGTAGAAATTGTAATTAACCCAAGTTTTCTCAAGATGCTGGCTAAGGAGGATCATAGCTTGAAGTCAACACATCTAGAAAGCTTCAGGTTGGGGAAAACTCTTTATGATTTATTTACAATTGAATGCAACATATATATCAATAGCTGGACAATATATTTGCTTCTTATAATTTTAGTTTTCCAATATTATGTAGCAAATCATTATATTTCCAAAGAGTAATTTAAATTTTTAACAGTTTAATAGCCATGGACACCTACCTTGGTTGGAATGTCAAGAGAGTCTTCACTGGACATGACCTTTGTGGTATCAGTATCCACCTCCTATAAAGAAAGTGAGAGCTTTTTTTCCCTATGAAGTTGCTCACTACTAAGATTCTAACTTGAAAGTTGCAGCCACCCAAAGTTAGATGTTCAACTACCAATGTAACTGCAAAAGCCACCAAGTAATCTTAAGAAAGGTCTCTGGATCATTCTGAAGTTCATAGGGATGATAAAAACTGCAGGAATATCGTTCACGGATTGTCCCTATTGTGAATTGTTATTAAGTTTTATTGTCCATATTTAGAGTCAGAAAAAAACTATAAATTTCTGCCTATGCACTCCTTCTTGTTCTGATAAAGCACCTCTGGGAAATAAAATAGTTAATAAAAACAATTCACAATTATGGAAAATATTCTGTATATAAAATTAAAGTGCAGACACCAAAAACAGTTGGTACTAGATTTTATTTTAGATGGCTTCTCTAAAGCTACATACAGCCTGCTTCTTTAAGTTAGATATGTGGCAATGGAGATTTTAGCTGAAGATGCCTGCCAGACATTTCAGTCACATTTTGTTTCAAAAGTAACACTTGCAAAAGAGATACAACAACAAGAGCAAGAGCATTTAGACTTTTATACCACTTCATAGTGCCTTATAGCCTTATAGCTAAGTGGTTTACAGAGTCAGCATATTGCCCCCAACAATTTGGGTCCTCATTTTATTGACAATGAAAGGATAGATGGCTGAGTTAACCATGAGCCAGTCAGAATTGAACTCCTGGCAGTACGCAATGAGCCTGTAATATTGCATTCTAACCAGTGTCCCACCACGGTTCTTACAATGAGATACAGATTGCACTGCAACCTCAAATTAAAACTCCCTTCCTCACCGATAGTAGATGCATCCTTTGCATCTACCAAAAATGGAACAGATTTCAATGCATTCATCAAAATGAGATCAACAGGCAAACAATTTACATCTTTCCACAAATATTTCCAAAAGGTTGCAAAATAAAGCAGCAGTTTTTGCTATTACTGAAAGGTTTTTGCAAACAATCCTTAAGTTCAATTCTGACCATGCTGCTCATTCCCAAAGTTATCAGTATAACTTTGCCAGGACTAACTTGCTCACTTTCACTGCCTCCTTTTATTTCTCTAATAAGACTCAGCTCCATTATACTCCATGGTGTACTTACTTCATTGTGGAATGAATTGTCTTCTGCTTCCTCAACCAAGGAAGGTAAAAAAGCCAGGGAGCCTCGCTTTTTGGGCTGTAGCATGCAGAGAAAGAAACCCCCCAGTTATTACAGCAGCCCTTAAATATGTTCCATCTGACATGTAACAATGCATGCTTCTCAGAAATAATAAGAAATAATCAAATTAAGTAGTTTTGTAGGCATGATCACATATAATGTCATAGGAATCAGTTTATTGTCCAATGTTTTTAGTCCTTCAGTTACAACACATTTTTCAGATCCCTGCACTTGTTTGCTTTATAACTATATTAAGTTGTTCTACATTTTATTTAACATCTATTTTATTTTGACAAAAACACAGGGTGGAAGGGTTGAATGGAACCATGTATGCCATCTATTCCAATTCAACTCTCAAGGGCAGGAATTCCCTCCTGCAAGGTTTCTCTTGGATTACTTAATTAACTAAGTCATAGTTATGTAGTTATGTATATCATAGTCTTTAGTGTTATCTATGGAAATCTATAAAAATATGGGTTTCAGTTTCTTTAAAATAATATGAAATAATTATTCCAGAAAAAATCTTTATTTGTTGATGTTTCATACTACTTATCTCAGAATAACAATGACATAAACTGGTGGTTTAAAATCCCACTGCATTTCTAGCAAAACTTAAATGTAATGGCAATGTATTCCTACTTTAAGGATAAAATATAAATTTAGAAAAATCCTTTTGCAACTGCCTTAAAGGTATTCAGATAATTGTTTAATATAAAACTCTTAATACATATTTTATGAGAAAGTTACCCTTCTTCTCCCAAGTATTTAAGTTAAAGGTTTTATATAATGATGAGGTCTTTCATTTTTATGATTTTCAGCACTGTCACTAGATATATATTCTGATCTTTTCTTTACATAATTCAATTTTTAAAACCCCCAACTATTATATAATCTGTCTCATATCCTGGCTTGGTTCCTTTTAAAAATTTTAAATGTAGTCATATTTAAAATGTAGTCCATATAGCATAGAAAGTTACAAGATACAATTGGAAGATGCTGAGATGAAAAAATAATTCTGAATACTATTTTCACAATATATTTACACTCTGGAATAATCCCAGTTTGAAAATACTGTAGTATCTCACAGATACATGTACCCAACCCCCATGTATGCATTTTATAGTTTATGAGTTAATGTGGATATTAATACTTTGAATCATCTTATTGCTAATCAAGTTTTCAATGACTTGAATAATTGCCAGAAAAAACCACAACCTGTTATTACTGGCAACCCTTAAATATGGATCAGCTAATACAACCATGAATGATTTTTAATATTTCTAATTGGTTTGTTCATTTGAGTGATTAAAAATAAAGCAGTATGCAGTGAATGGTCTCTATTTAGATTAAAAACTGTCTTTATACTCTGCTAGTAGATAGCAGCCTAAAAGTTGGCTTCCACAATAGGCAAAATTTTACCAAAAGTGAGACTGAACTGTGAGTGGCCATAGAACATCAAATGGGGAGTGGCTGAAAAAAGTTATCATTGTTACATTTCAGATATATATTGAATTCCAATTGAGAAATCTGGGCCCTATAATCCCGCCTAATACATATATATATACTGGTTTTGGGCAGTATCACTGCATAAAGTAAGGTTTTCATTTCTTTTGAGTTACAGTTTTTTTTTTAAAAAACTTCATTTTCTAACAAGCTGAAAAGAACTGAAACTCTGTTCATTAGAGTATAATTAGAATATAATTTTTAAATCCAAAATTAATTTCCTCCTAAATGCTGAATTCTGATCTCTAAGGGTTTTTCTTTCTGATTTTCTACAGCAAAGAAACAGTGTTGATCATATATTCACCCCTATCTTTCAGGCAGTGATGTGGTATATACAAAAGAAAACGCACAACAAAATGACAGCATGACACGCAGGAAGATCTTCCACATGCTCTGAGTAACTGAGGATAAAAACAACAAAAGGATACCTGTTTTGGGTGGCCACTCTGTATCTTTGGAAATTAAAACTGTATTTCTATGAAACCGTTTGAAAGAACTTACCTGCAACTCAACAGCATTTCCATTTTCCTCTGGTGATTCTAAGTCACTGTCCTCAGTTTCTGGCGGTTCTTGATTCTGATGAAGTTCCACCAAGGCATTCTTCATAGCTGATAGAATATCTTCTTTCTGTTGGCATAATAGGGCAATCTGTTGCTTTACTTTTTCCACCTCCTCATCCTGCGGAAAAATAATATTGAGACATGACGTATCTCATAAAAATGGGAACATGAAAGAAAATTGTGAACAGCTTGTGACATCTTACTGTAACATGATCTGCATGATTTTCTTTGGGTGCCTTCTTTGCACTAAAGCATTTCCTTAGCACAGCTGAAAACCAAGCCAAGTGACCCAATACAAAACGTAAAGCCTGCTGGATCTGTATGTAGCCAGCCATATCTTAGAGGGACATTTGGAAACTGAACAGCACTCTGAACAGTTCATAGCTGTCTGCTTGAATTTGGGAGCTGAATTCCAGAAGGGCAAGTGGTCAGGCGTGTGACAGATAGCATCGAGTTTATTCATAATACTATGCAAAGTAGGTTAATTAAGACAGAAGCATCACTTCCTGCTTCTCTGGAAGAGCTTTTTCTTTTCTTAAAACATTTTTCCTATTTCAAGTGGGAAAAACTGGAAAATTAGCAGAAGTGAATTGTTTTTATACAAGACCACAAAAACATATCCTAATAAAATACAGGTAACCCTTCCACTCCTACTCTGTGCTGGCAACCTTGCCAAATATTGTTTGCATAAGGTGGATATCCTTCAACTTAATAAAGGCGTAATTAAATTATCCACTTTAATTAGGGCTGTGTGCTATCCATATTACAGAATATGGATAGCACACAGTGTGTGTGCTATCCATATTGCTAGTGTCGGTGTAATTTGAGGATCAAAAGCATTCCCAGTGAGTACAATTCTAGTGGATTGGCAGGATATAGATCTAGCACATAGGTCACATGAACTAATTGTAACTCGTCTTTTCTATTTCTCTCAGCTTCAAAATGTTTGGGCTACTCTTTTTCATTTCAATCTATTATTCCATTTCTTGCTTCTTACAAACTTCAGTATGAAATAACAGGACTAGATTGTGATTCATGCTATTTAATGAATAAAGATATTTGGATTTGCTTGTAGTTGGCCTCCAACTTAGCAGATTGAAGTAAGTTGCCTGGGGCACAGTCTTCTTCAATTATTGATGTTAGGAATATAAGTCACCTAACAGGTATTTGGGTTAGAAATATATAAACCAGGATAAACATTTTAGTACTATATCTTTAAGGGAATGCAAGAGCATGCAATTGGGTGTGGTTTCTCAAACAGCCATAAGATGGAGCCAGAAACCTGGGTTGTTTAGTCTGAGTCTCAGAAGAGAATGTAAGTGTATCTCTGTTTCCTTCTGTTGGAAAGTATTGCCTGTTGCTCCATTTCTTCTAATTGACTGATATTACTGGATTTAATGTAAGTCTGATACTGAACTGTTTCTGACACTGGAATTTGATATTTGGATTATCCCTGGATGAAAACTGACTGATTTAACCTGTGAATGATTTGGACTGCTTGTTTTGGACTTTGCTTAAACCTTTCTGGAAGTAAAAACCTACATTTACTGTACAGTGTATCTGTGTGCTCTGTGTGTATTATTCAAACACTCCTCTCAAATACGTCTCCCTGTATGCGCTCATTCTACTAACGGGGAATTACCTCAACAATCGACACTGACTCCTGTGACTCCTGAGGAAGTAGACATAGTCGCACAAACTGTCAGCACAGCAACTTGTTTGTCAAACCCTGGTTCCTTGGCTTTGGGAGGCAGTCAGAGGATGGGATCTTTGAAGGAGCACAAAAGGGTAGGGGGTTCCCCCCTGGCCTTGAAGAAGGTAGTGATGCATCTCCTTCTCAAAATACCATTGTGGAATCCGCTATCCTGGAATAATTATAATTTAATTTCCAGTTTTCCCTTTGTGGAAAATGTTGTGGAGAAATTGATCAAATGACAGGTATATATACACAGGATCTTGAAGGAAAAGAATAATCTGAACCTGATTCAGTAAGATTTCAGACCAAGGTAAAGCATGAAGCATCTTGGTTGGCTTGTCAGTTACTCTGGCAGATTCACAATGGGAATGGTACATCCATCCTTGTGCCCCTTGATCTTTCAGTAGCTTCTGAAACCATCAACCCTGGGTGTTAAGAATGTGGGGAACTATTTTGCAGTGGATCACCTCCTTCTTCAGTGATCATTTCCAGTCAGAGTTGACAGGAGGGAGGAGATTAGGCTTCTGAGTTTGTCATGGCACACACCACTTTCCCCCATTATTGTTTAATATCAACATGAAATTGCTGGGTGAGGTCATGTGTAGTGTATCACATGATACCACACTTTCCTCCACTGCTGTTTAACATCTACATGAAGCTAACTGATGAAGTGAGTTCATCTGTTACCTGGGGTTGGTGTCATTATTACATGATGACAGACAAATATGCATCTCAACTATGGGCTATGCAAATGAAGCTGTCACCATACTAACTCAGTATCTTGAGGGTGTTAAGTGAAGAATATGGAGAACAAAGTTCAGCTCAATCCTTATAAGACTCAATGATTATGGCTGTGATTGTTCGGGCCCCAGATTGAGGATGTAATTTATTTATTCATTTATTAATGTTATATGGCTGCCCATCTCATGATAAGTCATTCTGGTCAGCATCACAACCTAGCAGGGGCATGGATCTAAAGAGGTGTCTGATCTCACAGTCTGAAGGACCTTGTGCACTTCCTCAGGTCCAAAAGGCTCAAACCATTCCCAGATAACTTGGCAAGAGTCCTCTCCAAGTATCTCCTCTAGACCTGCAGCAAAACTGGATCCATCAGGGAAGAATTCCAAGCACTTTTATCTGGACAGTCTTCAAGGTGATGGTCCTCTGGAATAGCATCCTCCAAGAGATATGTATGTATGGATTTTGGAAAGCTCTTATGACCTGGCTCTGTTCTCAGACCTGGGGCTGGCATATTAGTGGCATTTTTTATGGTTATTGTGGTTGCTTTTCTCCAGGCTACTATCCTCTATGATATTATACTCTGTTATGTTTTAATTGTGTTTTGGATGTTCTAAGCCATCCAGTGGGGTAGCTATAATCAATCTAAATAATAATAATTTCATACCTGTATAGCTCAGCAGGGTTCCAATAGTATGGTTCCAAATGACTGTCATGTGTGAATGAGAATATCAGAATTGTGCAAAGATCAGGTCTATGTCCCCCTGTAAAATGGGTTCATGTTCTTTCCCAACATGGAAACTCTAGGTAAGAGGATTTCAGTTCCCCAAATTTGCAGCAATGACTATGCTGAATGGAAATTCTGAGAGTTGGGGTGTCTCAAGTTGTAGAAATTTTAATCAATTCTGTGAGCTGTCCCCAAATTCCAACAAGACTTACCAGCAATTTAACATATGTATGGGTTTCATCAGACATAGTTTTGGTGGATTCCGATTTTTCCAAACTCTATATTCTATTTCAGCAGTTTGAGTTCCATTACAGTAAAAATGATCTATTCTACTTTTCTTAGCTTTTTAAAAAAGTGATTGAGTGCACAATGCTACCTGGCAGATTTTTAATTTATTTTTGCATTGCATTCTCTATAGTTGACTTCTCTGATTAGAAAATGTTCACCTCTTCTGGAGCCACCTTTTTGTTTATACTTTAAGTCTCAATATAATTAAGCTCTGACAAGCTAAAGAAATCTTAAAGCAATTAGCACTTTGGGCGGCACCAGCTAATTCATATGACTAACCCAGAAGAGCATTCCGAAACACCAGTTGAATACACTACGGCAAATCACACGCATGTATTTTCCATAAAGGTTAGGCATAAAAAAGAAAGCATGACATTGTGGATGCATAAATCCACTTGCAACTAAATAAGTAAAACAAACAATAAGAGGTAAGTCTATTCAAAGAGAAGAATACAAGTATGGTTTCTTGTCCAAATCTATCTCCCCAACATATGATTTTAATTTCTAAATGAATGATAATAAAGCATGGATACTAGTGTTAAGATTTGTATTTTGATAAACAGAATCATAAACACTGCATTAATACTTAGTGTTTTGTAGTGAAGGGGGAAACAAATATCATGAGAGGGTCAGAAAAACTTAAATTCATCAAATTTTACCTTGCCAATGTAGACACTGAGGTCAGAAAACTCCAAGAAAGTCAAAATCTGAATGACCATTAAGAAACAGGAAGGTTTCCCCTCTCTCAGGTGAGCTTTTAAAAAGGGGTAGAGGAAACTCCTCTTTGCTTTTCTCTTTTGTCTTTCATCACAATAAGACACCTAGCCTCCTAATATGGCACCATCAGTTAAAAACTGGAGGAAGTAGCCATTTAATGAAATGCAGAGAGAGTTATGATGTAAGAGCTTTTAAAAATGTATGTCATTGATCTATCCCATTTCTTTATACGATATGTTGTTCTACTTGTATGAAATATTCCTGCCTGGAACATTAGCTGAGAGTCAAAGTCCAGAAAAATTATGAAAATTCCTTTCTCCATTTTTTCTTCAACTTTCAGCTCCTTAACCTTACATTACATAATAACACCTTCTTCTGAAGTCTGTAGACATTCTGGCAGGGAATTTAGTCTGCCACATAACTTAGTCATTCTGCTACCTACAGAAAGGCAAGAAGATAGAAAGAAGGAATTTGGCTTGCCTCCTCCTGAGAAAATATGAAGAGAAGAAATATTTTTGAGAAGAGTGATATGGTGACAGCACACAGACAGAACCCCAAGGCCAGAATGTGGGAAGTTGCAATAGTCAGGATTGTGAGTGCAGAATTTAAGGCCTATCACTCGAGTGAGCCAGTAGGGCCAAGCCACATCATCCCTGTGCATGTGTAAGCATGCTCTTTACTACATGTCTGTATATTGAATCAGGGATATGTCATCAAGTTCAGAAAATGATATAATTATACTCTGAGTAGTATGCTACTTAGAGTCCCACTTTGCAAAAAGAACAGAGCCATGAAAGAAAAATACAGAAGTACAGAAATACATTTACAGGTAGTACTTGAGTTACAGACACAATTGAGCTAAACATTTCCATTGCTAAGCAAACAACAGTGAATTTGGCCCATTTTATGACCTCCTTCGCCACTGTTTTTAAGTGAATTACTGCAGTTGTTATGTTAGTAACATGGTTAAGGCTTTCCCATTGACTTTCGCTTGTCAGAAGGTCATAAAAGGTGATCACATGACCCCAGGGCACTGCAACCATCATAAATACATGGCAGTAACTAAGTGTCCAAATTTTCATTATGTGACCATGGGGATGCTGCAATAGTTGTGTGAAAAATGGTCATAAGTCACAATGGAATGATAAACACCTAACAGTTGGGTTGGCAATATATAAACCAGGACAGTTATTTAATACTGTTGTATCTTTAAGAGAATGTTGTAATTGTGATTGGCTGAGGTTCCTCCGACGGCCATAAGATGGAGCCAGAAACCTGGTTTGCTCTCTTCTTGCATTTCCTTGTTGCCTTTTGCCTGATTCTGCTTGGATTGCTGTGAGTCTTGCAAACTGCTAGCAAACTCTGTTTACTGAACTTTGTTTATGATACTGGACTTCGTTTTTGGATTATCCCTGGACTGATTATTTTGAATACTATCTGCTTTAACCGTGTATGATTTGGACTGTTTGTTGGACTTTGTTTACCTGTTTACTGGAAGTAAAACCTACATTTTACTATTCAGTGTATCTGTATGCTGGTTGTGTGTTATTCAACACCACTCTCACTACATTTCCCTGAGTGCACTCATTCTCCTAACGGGGAATACCTCAACAGTTCAGTGCCATCGTAATTTTGAACAGTCACTAAATGAATGGTTGTAAGTCAAGGACTACCTGTAATCATTTATTAGATTTTTCTTCTTTATTATTTTATAAGTAATCCAATGCAGCGAACAAGGGGGGGGCGAGGAGGGAGAGAGAGATGCAGCGAACATGCATAATACTCCCTACATTTTACACATAAAAACAATCTTCTGTGGTGAGTTTAGCTGAGAGAATGATTGACACAATGTCACTCTACCAGCTTCATACCTAAGGCAGGAAGGCAGGACTAGAACTCACTGTTTCCTGGTTCCTAGGCCAGCACCTTAACCACTACACCAAACTGGCTCTCAGTGATAAATTATAGTTATTTCATTTAAATTTAAATATTTCATTGAACTTATTATAGCCGCCCACTCCAACTGACTCTGGGCAATTTATATAATCCAAATTTTCCTAGTTTTTAAATTAAAAAATAATTTAAAGATTATTATTTATGTATTTAATATTGTTATTTTTTTGCCAGGTTAGGAAATAAAATTCAGAACAAATGTAGAAGAGATTCTGGATCCTGTGCCCACTTGCTTCTGGGGAAGCAAGAACATGATTCAATAGACACACGCACACCAAAATAGAGATTCCTATGGTTATTAGAAAGGATCTAATCATGGAAATATAGCAGTGTCAAGCAATTTTACCACAGTTGTCTATTGTAAATGAAGCAAGACATACAATATAATTTATAAAGCTCACCTTGAGGAAGGTGTGGTCTTGAACCGGCCACAGATTTTCTGAGGGCAATTCATCTAAATTAGTCTTTGGGAATTGGCTTTGCTTTAGGAAGTCAATTCGCTGCTCGAATTCTTCTATTTCTTTTACAATTGGCTAAAACAAAATTACCAGCAATTACTATGTTTCAAGGTGGATAATGGAACATATATTTTAATACACTATTAATACTCACATTCAGATTCTAATTTCAACTGGAAGTATATATACGTATGAAAATATTTTCCTAGTAAGTGGGAACACTGATTCATTTAATCCAACTACTCCAATAATGATTCTCTGGCTTTCAGAAGATAGAAATAGTGAATATTTGTAGGGGGATTTGTTTTTCTTTATAAAACTTAATTGATAATATATTTTCTGCATTCTTTGACTATCTACTCCTGATTTTCTGCTCCCACATTTTTGCTATTGCTATCTTGAACATGGAGCAAAATAAGGTAGTCCTCATTCAATGACTGCCTTTTGGGGGATTGTTTGCAGTTGTGACCACAATGAAAATATAATTTTGTGACCGGTCCTCATATTTATGACCTTTTAAGGTTTGTAAAGCAAAACAAAGCTGAGGTAAGGTCATAAACACAGCCATGGTTTGACTTGGTGATTGCTTCACTTAATGACCAAGTTGCCAGTCCATATTGTGTGTGCTAAATATGGACTACCTGTATTTAGGTAGAAGAAACAGTAACTCATTAGCTGAGTTCACACAATACTGCACGACCTGGTTAAACAACTGATATATTCTGCCATACTTTGGAGTGATATGTAGAGCAGTCTTAGGAAAACAGTAAACGTGCTTTCCTAAGGCAGTAAACTTATTTTTCTAAAATGCTTAGTAGTAAACAAGCAGTAAAAAGATGTTGCTCTGCTTGTAGGGGAACCATGCAAATACATTCAAGTTGATTGTTATTGGAGCTTATAATTATTTCTATTTTAATTTTTGCATCATTTGGAAGCTTCTGAGAACTATTTGGGAATAGTCTAACTAAATTGCAGTAGGAAAGAAACAATCCTGCTGCATGCACATTGTTAATATTATATCAATTATGCTTATTTAAATCAAATGCATAGATAGTATGCAAAAAAATGATTTCCATCTGTGTGTCATTAAAATATCACTGGCTTTTAATCACTAGATTACTCAGTCAATCATATTTGTACTGCTGTGCATGTGAGAAAAAGGAATCAGACACAATTTAAAGTTGCTTTAATATATTCAGAGCATTCCAGATCATGGATGTTATGGTTTGTGCTGTATGATATATGATTAATTATTGCAGTTGACTAGAATGAGTTCCTACAAATTAATTAAAAATACAAGATATTTTCGGTATCCTGTGCCTTAAATAATCAACCAACCCATATGCATACGATTCAAGAAATAGCTTTTCCATGTGTTATGATCTTATTCAGAAAACACATAATAAAAAATGAGAAGGTATTTTCCAAGAAGATTCACAAATAACCACTCAATCAATTTGTTTTTACCTCAAGTAGAGTGTTCTGTTTCTCTGTGAGTCTTTCTAGAACCTTCAGCTCTTTCAAAAGCTGTTTAGTTCTTTGGAATACTGAAAGAGGTTGCATTCTCATGTCAGTCAATCTCAATTTTGCTTTATAGGATTGCATTTCAACCACAGCCTTCTTCATGGGGCAGATGTGGGTCAATATAACCTAAAATAGAATGTATTAACAAGGAAGGGAAAAGTATGTAAGACTCAGCATGCTTATAGCACTTTGGGAAGTTCAGATATTTATGTTCAAAATACTTCACATATTTGATCTCAGAAAATCTAGGACAGCGGCTCGCTGCCGAAGTGCCTCCGATCCAGCTGGATCTGGAGGATATGGTTGCCCCATAGAGGCAACCGAAGTGAGAGGAGATCCGGGCAGGGGCTTGGGGGTATCGCAAACCCCCTCCTCAGCCAGCTAAACTCCTTTTTCCCTAGGCGGTGAAGCGGCGGTCAGCAATGGCAGCCACAAAGAAGCCGGGTAAGATTGTGCAGGAGGAAGTTGGAGAAAGTGAAAGTTTTTTGGCTGAACCGGGACAACAAGGAACTCTTTAAAACCCTGGAATCTTAATTGCTTGAATGATACATTGTTTCCTAAGAAGATTGGAAAGCAGCGGAAGAAAAGTGAAAGGGAAAGTTATTTTTTCTCACTCTCCCTCCCTATGGAAATAGCTGATGGAAATCGGAAAAACTGCTTGGGCATAGAAGGTAATTAAATTTCAAACTTAAAGCCAAGAGGATAAAAGATTTCTGAACATTGGAATTTAAAACTATTTTTTTTTTTTTTTTTTTTGCTATAAGTGGGAGGGAAGAGGTAAAGAATTTATTTTAAGATTGTATTGAAGGAGACTGCTTGCAGTTTATAAGATTAGAAATAAATGATAATAAGACTTCTAAAAATTACTTTGGGACTGTGTAATTGAACTCTACCCCAGGAAGAGAAAATACAAAAAGAAGAAAGTGCTAAATGAAACAATTTGTTCTGATTTGGATTGCTTTATGACTTTTGGATTTTGGGGAACTATTTCTTGAAGGATTAAAAACATTTGGGTTGTGCTTAAGGAAAAAAAATGGCACTATCGGTTGAAGATGGAATTTCAAAAGCTAAAAGAAGAGGAACAAGAAGGCAAGGGCTCTTCTGGATCTATTTTTCACTTTTTAGAAATGGCGATTTCTACCTACCAGGAAATACAACAACAAGAAGGCTGGGAGGAAGGAGAAGAAACCATCTTTAATGGACAGACTATTTCATTTGAAGAAGAAAAGAGAAATGGGGAAAAGAAAACGGAGAATTCAGAACTGAAAAAAGCAACCAAGAAAGGGAAAAATAAGATGAAAAATCGATACAATGTCAGAAAGCAACAGAAAAGAGAAATACAACAGAGAGGGAAGATTAAGAGAGTGGAGTTTGAGAGAAGGGGGGTTAAAAGGCTAGAATTGATAAGAAAGGAAGGGAAAAAGGAAAGAGAAGTCATAAAGTTTTAAAACAAGATGTTATAAAACTGTTTTTTTTCAGAGATAAAGGGTAAACAATAATTTAAAAAATGATTCTGCAAAAGTACATAAGATTGTATTGTAGATATTAGTATTTGAAATTGAGTTAGAAAACTGAAATATTATATGAGTTAATAATGTATTAAAGAGAACGTACAAAAATGTTTAAGATTTAACAATGGAGTTTAACTTTTTATGGAATATTGTCTTTACTATTTTATAAACCTAATTCTCTTTTTTTTTTGTCTTATTATTCTAAAATGTGATACTTAGAATGTACTAAGCAGAATCAGTATGGAAAGTATGTATTATTTTAAGCGTTAAATTTAGGGGAAAGATAAAAAGTTGTCATACTTCAACTAGTGATTACAGGAGAAATATTGTACTAGAAAGAAAAGAAAAATAGATAATTGAAAGAGAACGGACAAAAGATGCAAGTATAATTATCTAAACTGAGATGAAATAAATAAAATAGAATTAAGAAAGTGAATGAAGAGAGAAAATATATAGAAAATATAGAATGTTAAATAAGATATGAAATAGTATATTAGTAAGTGAGCATGAACTTGATTTATGTCTGTATAAAAAGATGTTACCCAGGGTAAGCCGCTTTCCAAAAAGAAGTTTTATGTATTTATGTTTTGTGTTTTGTTTGTTTATCAAAACGTTAGAAGAATGTTGGAAGAGAATAATGAAATTTTAAATAAGACAGATGGATATAATGAATATATATAATTTAAGGCAAAAGAAATATAATTGAATAGAAGGAAAGGGAGAAATAAAGAGAAGTTGGGAAAAGATATGAAGTTGAACAGATAAGATGAATATGCATATTAAACTGTGCTGGTATGGAAATGTGATAATTTGGAATTATCCTGTCTTTAAATAAGATGTTCTATTTGTTTTCTTTAGAAAAGATGTCCTATGTTATTATTCTACGTTTTGTTTGTTGGTGTATTGTTTTTTAAAATTAATAAAATCTGTTTCAAAAAAAAAAAAAGAAAACCTAGGACAGCATGATTTTCAAAATACCTCAGATGGAATCTAGATGGAATCTAGAATTACACCCATTTGTATTTCTCACTTTCCTCCCCACTATATACATCTCCAAAATTAATTTCAAAAATAGCTTCTTGCTCATGGAAATGATGACCTCAATGTGTTACTTAGAACCAGGAATATTAGTAACAGAATCCAAGCACCTTTCTTCCTCTCAGGAGAATTTGTTGGGTCAAATTCTGTAACAATAAACCATCTTCCCCACAATGTAAATGACCTCTGAAATGAAAGAGCCCCATCTGGCTAGATAAAGCTGCTATCTCTACCTTGGGTCTTGGGTTAAAGCACATCTTGCTTTGTCCTGCTGAATTGTCCCAATTCTTGACTGAACCTAATGAGCCACCATTTTCACTTGGCAGATGGGGGCTATTTGGCAGCTACAGGTGGAAGGTTAATGGTAGAAATTTATGGTGATGAGCTATTCAGAGTTAAAAGGCAGTTTTTAAAAATATTATAGCATTGTCATAAAGGAGCAGCAAAAAAGAAAACTCTATCATTACATTTTCAAAAGTTTGGGAATACTTCAAGAATAGCAATGTTTAGAAATAGCTGGCTTCTAATCCAGCACTATACAGTATATATATATTACACTACAATTGTTCCTATGTTGATTTTTCCAGTTCCTTTTTTAAGTGAAATACCTTACCTTACAATGTTTAAGATGCTCCTTAGGAGAAAGATCAAATGTGTCTTCAGAGGGGGACAATATTGTCTTTATTTTTTCTATGTCCTTCTCCATTGTTTTCACTTCAGATTCAATAGCTTCAACATCCTACATTTTCAGAAACAATCATAGTACTTATTCTCTGCTGAAGTCTCTTAAATGCAAAAACCAATGGACTCGCAGCAATATAAGACTCAGAAAGTCTTACATTTTTATTTATATCTAAAAAGCCACACATTCCTTGAGTGCTACCTTATTAGCCAATTGGTTGCATCCATTTTTTAATTCCCTCATTAAATCATGTGTCATTACCACCTAACAAATATGATTCTCTATTTTAATTCTGAAAAACTGTCCAATATATTGGATGTTATGAGAACCACAAGGACAATATCAAATTTGCTTCTGACCCAAGCTAGAATTATATGAAGCCAAATCAGGTGATGCTGAATAAATTATGCCTTTGCTCTTATAGCCAATAAAAAAAATATCTTCACCCTTTATTTGCTGTTTTGTTGATATTTCACTATTCTTTGGTCCCAAATGTTTTGTGACACATATACCATATTTAAATAATGTTATGTTGTTTTCTCTCCCAAGAACATACTGAAATAAATGCACAACCTTTCTTGCCTACCACAGTCTCAGTTTATCTCATGTTTCTCTGGACTTTCTCTTGCCCCCTCTGCTGTTTTGTATTCCAGTAAGAGGCATGCAAATAGGTGGCTAAATCATCAACATCAAGAACAGCATCTGAACCTTACTAAATCAAACAGAAATAATTGTATTGTTCACACTTACATCAGCCAAATGCTGAATACATGGAAGAATTTCCATTATCTTTTGCTGTAAGGCTTTAACTTGCTCATTTACTTCTGTCAATTCCTGCACCATACTGTCAGTTTCAATTAAAGGGGACAATTCTTTCAGTTCTGGGGAAATGGCACTAAGAATACTTTGCTTTTGTTGTGAATCTTCTAATGCCATCTGGAGAGGAAAAGTTAACATTATTTTTCTTTTTTTAAAAACAAAGACATTAAAATGCATAAAGGAAGCACAAAATTTGGTAAAATAAACCTTATCTTCCGAATATTTCATATGGTTTTTAATTCACTGACAACAGGAAAATATATATATATATAGTGAAACATATATTAATATTCAAGAAAAAATGGACATAAATAAGGGCATCCTGATAAATTTATGCAGGAAACTTCCAGTTGGGTGGTGGTATTTAAAGTAATTTCCTACATGAATTCCTCTGGCATTTACTCACAAATTATGTACTGATTTCCTCTGTATTTCAAGCAAACCCTAGTTGTTGCTTTGCTATTCGTTTTGGTTCTGATTTCTTTCTAATTAATCCATCAATGGAAATTAGCTTATGAAAATTAGCGTATTTGTTTAAAATCTGTATTCACATTCAAACCTTTATTGTCAATGCACAACATGTATACGATGAAATTGAATGAGCTTCCCTTGGTGCAATCCACCCAAGAACACAGAATATATCTCAATAAATCAATAAATAAAAAAGAAATCCATAACACCAGTAAGTAATAAAGTAGCACACATTTCCATATGTATGTATGTATGTATGTATGTATGTATGTATAATGAATGTGTGTGTGTGTGTGTGTGTATAAAATTAATGTGGTAGATTTAGATTGTGTGTGTGTGTGTGTGTGTGTGTGTGTGTGTGTGTGTGTGTGTGT